GGAAACCTCAACACACAGATTCCCTGGCTAAAATTAGCACTGAAGAGAATCTGTTCCTCCCTCATCTGTCTCAGCTGGTGCTTTGGAAGTATTGATAAAACTTGGGTGGTTGAGGGGATGGGTTTAACATTACCTTTTGTTAGCTTTGTCTTCTTTCGGAATGTCTGTACATTCCAGAGTGCTTTCCAACTTCAGTGAAAGAAAAGGTGGATTGTGGAGTCAGGGAGACCCTAATTTGAATCTGACTGAGTGCTTCAAATCTCAGCCTTGTCCCATGGGGCCAATGACTTCAGTTTTCATAGCTTCAATTTGCTCACCCATAACAAAGGGATATTAATATGTCAAAGGAGGATTCAAGGAGATAACCTGTGTTAAAGAGCTTGATCCACAGTGGGTTTTCTGGATAGGTAACAGGATTGGTTACTTTAATGCCTCAACGATGCTATCAAGGAACAGGTCCCCTCCTCTTTCCCCTCTCCCTTGGGTTAACTACCCTCAATTCTGGCAATACCACACAGTTATGACAGTATCTAGTAGCAGATGAGGGAGTTTTTCTGTAATCTCCTCTCTTTTTTTTATCCTCACCCGAGGACATTTTTCCATTTTTTGTACAGACAGAGTGGGAGGGAGAGAGAGGAAGAGAGAAAGAGGGAAACATCGATGTGAAGGGACACATCAAGTGGCTGCCACCCGCACGACCAACCAGGGCCGGGGACAAACTGCAACCAAGGCACATGCCCTTAGTGGGAACTGAACCCGGGTCTCTCCGGACCGCAGGTGGATGCTCTAACCGCTAAGCCAAACTGGCCATGGCTGTAATCTCATTTTTAAGTGTGATGAAAATCTTTCCCAAAAGTCTCTGAGTAGATTTCTGACCCTATTCTTTGGCCAGACTTGTATCACATGCCTATGACTAAACCTATAACTGGCAAGAGAAATGGGCGGAACAATCCTAGTTCAGACTAATCATGAAAGGGAGCTGGGACTAGGGCTGGGGTCTGCCTCCTCTAAAGACAGTGCATATCTGAATAAGATCAGGGGCTGGTAGCTGAGATGGATGGGGAGAAATGGCTGTTGGGTAGGCAACCACCCATGTTTGCCATGTATGGCTACCGTCTACTTTTTAACTGTTTCCCGGCTGGAGTGCTGTTGTACAGTGGGCTCTGTAAATGGGGGTGCCTGACATAGTGATTCCTTTAGTCCTAGGGGCAGCCAAGAGGGTCTTGGATGGCCAGAGTACCCAGATGATTGCTTTTACCATAGCAGTCTCTTCTGTTTACCATAGTGTGCAGTACAATTTACATCAGTTTCCTATGATTTTTAAGATGGGGAGAAGGTTGGGAGCTCTGGCCTAGTATTCTTTTTTTTTTTTTTTTTAAATCCTCACGCAAGGATATTTTCCCATTTATCTTCAGATAGAGCAGGAGGGGGAGAGAGAGAGAGAGAAACGTCAGTGTGAGAGAGACACATCAATTGGTTGCCACCCGCACTACCTCATCTGGGGCTGGAGATGAACCACAACAGAGGTGCATGCCCTTGGCGGGAATCAAACCCAGGACTCTCTGGTCTGCATGCCGATGCTCTAACTGCTGAGCCAAACCAGTCAGGGCTGGCTTAGTATTCTTTAGTAACAATCCCCTATTCAACTTTAGGTCATTTCAAATTATTTGTTCCCTCCAAATTATTTTTTAAACTGGAATTCACTTTTAACTCATTAATTAAAGATTTCATGTATTGATTTGAGAGAGGGAATTGTTCCACTCATCTACACATTCATTGGTTGATTCTTGTATGTGCCCTGACTGGGGATCAAACCTGCAACCTTGGCATATTGGGTTGGTGCTCTAACTAACTGAGCTACCTCTCAGTTACGTTCTATCTAGCAAATCTGAGGTGTGGAGAGAGAGCTGAAATGGAGCAAGTGTGGGAGCTGATACTATAGTCCAGGCATGAGAGGAAAGCGGTGTGTGTGTGGGGGTGGGTGGTGGTACTAAGCAGTCTGATTCCTGATATACTTTTTGTTGTTGTTGTTGTTACTCCTCACCTGAGGATATTTTTCCATTGATTTTTTTAGATAGAGTGGAAGGGTGAGAGGGAGGGAGGGAAGAGGGGGGAGAGAGAGAGAGAAATGTGAGAGAGGCACACTGATTGGTTGCCTCCTGCATGACCCTGACTGGGGCCAGGGATTGAACCTGCAACGCAGGTACATGCCCTTGACCCGGAATTGAACCCATGACCCTTTGGTCAGAGGGCCGATGCTCTAACCTCTGAGCTAAACCGATGAGGACTGATTCCAGATATACTTTGAAGGTATTGCTGACAGATTTGGATGTGGAATGAAAGATGAGTCAAGGATGACTCCAGGAAGAGAATTGTTATTTTGAGTTGGGCAAAAATGTTTCTGGAGAAGGACTGTACATTAGTTGTCTATTAGGTGTCCAAATGGAGATACTGAGTAGACATTTGGATATATGTGGCTGAAATTCAGAGGAGAGGCTGAAGATGTGAGGTTGGGAAACATCTGGGTAGAGATGGCATCTGAAGTCATAAGCCTGGAAGGGAGCGCATGGAATGAAAGCAGGTAGAGCAAAAGAGAGGATCAGATCTATCCTAGGGCAACCTTATAATAAAAGGAGAAGAGGAGGGAGCAGCAAAAGGGAAGAAAAGAAGGTAGGAAGCAACTCAAGAGAGTGGTTTCCTGGATGACAAATCCTGAAGATAGGCCAAGTAAGATGAGGTCAGACATGACCATGAGGTTTAGTAAAGTGGAGGTCACTAGTGGCACTGACAAGGAAAGCTTCCGTGGAGAGTGAAAGCCTGGCTGAAGAGGCAGAAAGGAATGAGAAACAGAATAGGAAAACCCTTGTAGTTTTGCTGTGAAGTGATGCAGAAATGGGAGGGGAGCTGGATGGAAGTGGTCACTTTTTAAAAATAGAGATTAAAATATGTTGGTATGAGTGATGGGAGAAAACGGGGTGAATTGCTGGGGAAATATTTTAGAGAAAGTAAGAAAGAATAGGATTCAGTGCATAATTGCAGGAATTGGTCTTAGTAGGTAGTTTATAAATTGTCACAGGAGGCAGGCAAGTAGGTGGGTAAATGACATGATGTAAACTTTTGAGTTTACTGATCCTGCCACTTTCTGTTTACAAAATTTTTTTTCTTTGTTGATTTTTTTAGATTGGGAGAGAGAGAGAAACATCGATGAGAGAGAACATTGATTGGCCACCTCCTGCATGCCCCCCACTGGGGATCTGGCCCACAACCTTGGCATGCCCGGGGATCCAACTGGGAACCTCTTGGTGGATGGGTCCATGCTCAGTCACTGAGCCACACCTGCTTGGCCCCATCACTTTCTTAGTGAAACAGGAAGTAAAGTCAAGGGTGGGACAGCAAGAACTTAGTGCAGGTGGCTGGCAGCTTAGTCTGGCATATTTCCTTGACTGCTGTGTGTGGGAGAGGCTTCTGTCAGCAATGGCTGCTAGACTCCAGTTATGAATTTGGGCCCAGTTAATCACAAGAAGTCCTTTTTGGCAGAGGATTCCGAAATGGTGGCGGAGTGAATGGAAGCTACGCAGACCATTTTCCAGGACCAAACTGGAATTACAAGTAAAATAAAGACAAATCAATGGGAAAAACCAACAGAAAATCAGCTGGAGAGGACCCATATAACCACAGTCAGAAAGAAGACACAATATCAAGCCTGGTAGGTACTGCGGAGGCATGAGAGGGTGGGCTGGGAGCCCATGGACAGCAGCAGCTGTTTTAGCTGTGAGCGGCTCCCTCAGGGTTAAAATCCCAAGCCAGCACCACAGTACAGAGGGCGGGGACAGAACACTAAATTAGCCAGAGCCACTCACCTTGGGCTCCCGCAGAGGGAAGGCAGACTGGTTTGGAACTGTGTGGGGAGACTTGGGAGCTGGGAGAGCTGGGGCACCAGGGGGAGTTTCTTTGCTGAATCACTCCCCCACGGGACAGTAGCCATCTTGCTTAAAGACAAAGCCCCTTTCCAGAGCCTGGGGGAGAAGCAATAACCCTTCCCTCAGATATTTAACACCAGCCAGCCAGGCCAAAGAAATGCAAATCAAGGTTCATTAACAGCCAGCAAGGATCTGTCCCACCCTCTGGAAATCCTCTTACCCTGAACACCTGAGGGATTTTTTTCATCCAGTTGAGGGCTACAACCCAAGGCTCATCAAGTAACTGAGACTAATAGCCTCCAGGCAAAAAGCTAGAGGATAACTGAACCTTTCCTGGGCTTGCCAATTTACCCAGGAAATTAAGACATGACAGTGGTGTTTAACAGTGGGTTCTGCCACACTCATCCAAACCCAGTAGAGGGAGCCACAACCAGGGAAACACCAACACCCAGAGGGAAAATTCGGCAGGTTCCAAAACACACTGAGACACCCAAAATGGTGAAACAAAGAAACAAATCCCAAATGAAAGAACAAGATAATTGGACAGAAGATGGAATAAATGACAGGGAATTGAGCAAGATATCAGAGGGCGAGTTCAGAGTAATCATCATGAGGAAGTTCAACAGCATGAGTAAAGCTATAGAAGCATTAAAAACCAACCAATTGGAAATGAGGAAGCAAAGTCAAGAGTAAGGATGGAGTTTTGATGAGAGGAGAACCATGACACAATCCTTTGGGATGTTGGGCGGCGCCAGTTGAGAGATACTTAAAACCAAGTTGAGAAGAATGGGTAGAGAGCAACATTCCGCCCTGAGAGATTAGGTCCTCTAGACACTCTAGGTTCTTTGCGTCCGTTTCCTTGGAAACGCAGACGGAGAGAAAGCATCGTCAGGTCTCTAAGGGAAGTTTGAAAGGCCTGAGTTACCACGCGATCCACGCTGAGACAAGGAAGTTGGAGAAGCCGAATAAATAGGCATCCCAAGAGATCAGTGCCCCGCGGACTCCTGACTCTTTCCATTTTCCCCAATGGCGCAAGACTTTCGGAAGTAGGTAAAAGTACGGCGAGGTGGTGAAGTGCGCATGCGTGCGTCCCAGCCCTCGCGGGTAGTCCTCCCGCGGTCTTTTGGCTCCGCCTTCTCTCCACCCACATCTCCGGAACCCCGCCTCTCCCCGGCGCTCTCTGGGTTCTGGCTTGGCTTAAGTGTCCCTAGTAAACTGCGGTTTTGGATTGGAGACCCCATGGCTGGTTCACGTTTGCTGCTTGCATCCCTATGCCTTGGGAATGATGGAAATTCTTTCCCGCCCTAATTCTTTCCAGACCAGACGACTGTGGGAGTCGCTCCACAATCCACAAGTCCCAGGTTCTGGTGAGTACTGGAGGGTCAGGGCCGGGGGGGGCTCGCTGATCCCGAGCCTACAATCCTGCTGCCCTGCACCCCCACGGAAGCGACTGTCCGGGTGGTGGAGTCCGGAGATCTGAATTCCAGGTCCTGCTGTGTCACATATTTGCTTTGGGACCGGGGCATGCCTCTGAACCTCAGTTTTCTCACCAGCTTATCAGAATGTAAGGGTGTACATATATTATGCTGCTCTCTTGTTTATCAGTGATTCTACTCTGGTTCCCTGTTGGGTGTTTTCCACGCCTTCTGTTTCTCACAGTTCTTAGCACCTCACTGCCTGGATGTGCTTAGTACATTCTGGCTGGCTGATAAAAAAGTGATAGCTAACGGTTATGGAACACTTATCACATGCTTTACAAATATCTCTCAGAATTCTCCTACAACCTATGGAGGTAGGTTTATAATTAGATCCAGTTTACAGATGAGAAAATTAAGGCTCAAGGTCACAGATATCTGTAAGGGATGAAGCTAGGTGAAGGGGGGATTTGAACCCACAAGTCTGTGTAACTGATTCCGTTATGTCTGGTAGGATTATGTTCCATGGCAGCGGTCCAAGCAGAAACTCAAGCAATCCACTGTGCTTCCAGTCCTACATACCAGTGGCCATAAGAAAAGCAAAACTGAGTCTAGGAATAGCAACCAGCCAGGTGAGCAGAGACATTTGGAGTGGGATTTGGGGATAGGATAGAGTGGATACTCTTGACCCTTGGTGACACCATTTATGTTAGGGTAGGCTAACTGCTTTAATCAACAATCCCTGGATTTCAAGTATTAATGTAGAAGCTTATATCTCATATATGTCAAAGTACATTTATGGATCTGGGCAGGAGGAGATAATCTTTTCTAGATGATTTTTCAGGGACCGAGGCCACTTTAACCGTGTGGCTATGACATTTTGTAAGGCCTTGAAGTCCTCTGCTGTATACTTCTGCATCTAGCTGGCAGAGAGGGAACAGAGAGAGAGCAAGAATATGTATGATTTTGTGAGCAGTCTTTTTTCAGTGCCCAGATATGAAGTGATACAATATCACTCCCACTCATATTCTAGTGGCCATAACTCAGTCATCTGACCACCCCTAACCATAAAGGAAGATGGGAAATGTAGTCCAACTATGTGTCCAGGAGGAAAAGAAAACAGGGTTTGGTGAATTCAGGATCATCTCTGACTGTCATGCCTTCCAGGGGAGTTCTGAGGCCTTGGCTCAGGACATGGCTTCTGATCTCGGCCCTGCCATTTACTCTCTTGGGAAAGTCATTTATCTCTCTGAGTTTTAGTTTTTTCATTTGTAAAATGAGGACACTAATACTTACCTGATATGATGTGAGAATTAAATGAAAAAATCTCTTTAAAGCATTGCTCAGACCCAACACTCCTTTTAATAACAAACATTTTGTAATATTCCTTTAGTATCCTGAAATAAACTTCATAGATAATATAACCTACCTACATATAATAAAAATTATTATAATGCCATAACTATAAAGGAAAAGGAAAAGTTATTTATAGTTAAATAGCATATATTTCAGTATGTAAATGCTCAGGTTGGACTCTACCAGAAGATATGATAAACTAATCAGAAGCTTACTCAGATGTATAGACCTGGTGAATATAACAGTTGTAAAGGCAGAAACATGTGGTGGGATATGGGACTCCAGTATGGGGGATTTTTCATTGCTGCTGTGATTTACAAAGTGGTACCCATCTCTTGGTAAGTTCTAAACAAAACAAAGCACAATGTTTCTCTTGATTATAGTTGCTTTCTTGGAAAATTCAGCATTATAGTAAAACCCTGTAAAATATTCATTGTGTTTATATGTGAAACACAGTCAGGTTCTTCGATCAGATCATTATAATGAGGGTTTTTGCCTACATCAATATCTGGCAGGACTTCGGAAAGTCAGGCAGGACATAGGAGAATTTTGTGTTCTGTGGGGCTGTCTCATTCTGGAGGATGTCTAGCATCCCTGGCCCCCACCCACAGATGCCAGTTGGGCTTTCCAATATTTGTGAAAATCCTGCCAAGGTACCTAAAACACACCTGTTGAGAATCATTGATGTAAAGTGATGAGCCCAAGGCCTGATGATGGTGACAACATTTTTGTCTTTGGCACTTGACCCTATTCAGACAGCATCTACAAGGAAACTCTTGCCCTTTTCTTTCACTGGGACATTAGTTAGGTATGTAACAGACACAACCACAACAGGAACAAGAGCAATTAACATATGCCCAGACCTTATTACATGCCAGACACTGTTCTCAGCACTTTACAAGTATCACTTCATTTAATCTTCCGAACAGTCCTATGAGCTGGGTGCTATTATTATCACCTCCTCTTCCAGATGAGGCACAGACAGATCTAACTCCCAAGGTCGCAAAGGTAGAAGGGGCATAGCCAGCCATAATTTGGCTCCAGGGCCCACAGTCTTAACCATGTATAGGGGGAGAGAGTGTGAGAATTGGAGAAATACATCTGAGTTGGTGTTTCAATTCCCTTCTTGTTAGCAATTCCATCTAAGTTATCTGTCAGCCTCAGTTTCCTTCCCTGTGGAAATGGGCACAAAGATTCCTGCTTTATGCAAGTGAAATAAACTGTGTAATTAATAATGCTGAAAATAGCTACTATTTGCTGAAGACTTATTTTGTGTCAGGCTCTGTTGTAGAGACCTCATTCATTCATATATTCATTCAGCAGCAACTTTACAGAACCCCCATGTGCCTGGACATAGTTGGCTCATGGTGAAGAAGACAGATTGGATATCAGTCACAGAGAGGTTATGGTCCCAACCTCAAACATGTAACTACACAAAACTTTACACTTGTGATAGAAGGAGGTCATCGTCTCATTTACTCCTTACAATGATGGGAGATGATGTCATCACCATTTTACAGATGAGGAAACTGAGACTTAGGCTGGTAACATGTTCTGTGCAAAGTCATGTCCTCGAGGACAGCGTTTGTGTATTAAAAAAGATAAATCGCCCTGGCCGGTTTGGCTCATTGGTTAGAGTGTCTGATGTGGTCCAGAGAGACCCGGGTTTGGTTCCTGCTAAGGGCACGTACCTCCATTGCAGTTTGTCCCTGGTCCTGGTTGGGGTCGTGTGGGTGGCAACCACTCGACGTGTCCCTTTCACATCCATGTTTCTCTCTCTCTCTCTCCCTCCCACTCTATCTGAACAGAAAATGGAAAAAATGTCCTCGGGTAAAAATGTCCTCCAGTAAAGATAAAAAAAAAAATTCAGTGATTAACAACAACAAAAGAGTCAGGATTCAATTAAAAAAAAAAAAAAGATAAATCAGTCATCTCTACCAAGATGGAGTGGAGTAGCCCCATTGCTTTCTAGTCCTTCCTTTTATAACTAAAAATGTTGGACACAACACAACTAACAAACAGAAAGACTCTGAAAACTAGAAAGAAGAAGGTGGGCAGTTCGGGTGGTGAGCATATACAATCATCTGGCCTAACAATGAATATGTGGAAACCAAAATTTATCTTTTTTTTTTTCCTCACCCGAGGACATTTTTGCATTTATCTTCAGATAGAACAGGAGGGAGAGACGGAGGAAGAGAGAAAGAGAAACATCGATGTGAGAGAGACACATCGAGTTGTTGCCATCCACACGACCGTAAGCGGGGCCAAGGACAAACTGCAACCAAGGTATGTACCCTTAGCGGGAACTGAACCCAGGACTCTCTGGTTCGCAAGCTGACACTCTAACCACTGAGCAAAACCCACCAGGGCTTTTTTTTAAAAAATCCTCACCAAGGATATTTTTCCATTGATTAAAAATTTTTTTTTTTTACTTGATTTTAGAGAGAGAGAAAGGGAGAGGGAGAGGGAGACAGAAACATCGATGAGAGAGAACATAGATTGGCTACCTCCTGCATGCCCCCCACTGGGAATTTGGCCCACAACATGGGCATGTACCTTGACCAGGAATTGAACTGGTGAACTCTTGGTGCATGGATTGATGCTCAGCCAGTGAGCCACACCAGTTGGGCTTTTCCATTGATTTTTAAGAGAGAATGGAATAGGAAGGGGGAGAGAGGGAGAGAAACATTGATGTGACAAAGACACATTGATTCGTTGCCTCCTGTATGTGCCTCAACTGGGGCCAGGGATTGAACCTGCAACCCAAGTATGTGCCCTTGCCTGGGAATTGAACTTGCGACCCTTCAATGAATAGGCCAACGCTCTATCCACTAAGCTACACTGGCTGGGGCTGAATCCTAAATTTAAAATAATACATTTATAATCATTCCAAAGAAAATGATACTTAGGTATAAAATTAATAAAACGTGTATAGGATCTGAATGCTGAAAAGTACATAATGCTGGTGAAAGAAATCAAAGAAGACTTAAATTGATGTATATGTTTAATGCAGTTCCTATAAAAATTCCAGCAATGTTTTGTAGACATAGGGTTTTTTAAAAAAAAATTCCCACCTGAGGATATGTTTGATTTTTTTTTGTTTTTAGAGAGAGGAAGGGGTGGAAGGGAGAGAGAGAGAAACATTGATGTGAGAGGGAAATATCAAACGGCTGCCTCCTGTATGTGCCCAACTGGGGATCGAACCTGCAACCTAGGTATGTGCCCTGATCAGGAATTGAACCCACAACCTTTTGGTGTATGGCATTAGTGCTGCAACCAACTGAGCCACCCAGCCAGCGCATAGACAGTTTATTTTAAAATTTATATAGAAAAGCAAGTCCTTAGAATAGATAAGACCGTTTTGAAAGAGAAGAATAACATGGGAAGAACCACTCGATGTGTTATAAGGCCAACTATACAGCTATAATAATTGACAGCATATTATGGGCAGAAAGGTAGACACACAGGTCAATGGAACAGAACGGAGAAACCAGGAGGAGAGCCACACAAATATGTCCAACTGACTTTTGACAAAGGTGCAAAAGCAATTTAGTGGAGGAAAGAAAGCCTTTTCCACAAATGGTGCTGGAGCAATTGGACATCCATAGGCATAAAACGGACCTCAGTTTAAGTCTCACAACTTACACAAAAATTAACTCGAAATGAGAATGTAAAATGAAATAAAAATTAAATGTAAAATATAAAAGTGTAAAACTTTTAGAAAAAATCATAGTGGAGAAAAATCTTTGGATCAAGTAAAGAGTTCTTAAATTTTACACAGACAGCTTGATCCATGAAAGAAATGAAATAAATGGATAAGCTGGACTTCATAAAAAACAAACCACCTTTTATTCTGTGAAAGACTTTGTTAAGAGAAAAAACAAGCTACAGACTTGGAGAAAATATTTGCAAACCACATATCTGACAAAGGACTGCTATGTAGAATATATCAAGAATTCTCAAAACTCAACAGAAAAGCAATTCAGTTAGAAAATGGGCAAAAGACATAAAAAGACATTTCACCAAAGAGGATATACGGATGGAAAATAAGAACATGAAAAGATCTTCAACATCATTATCTATTAGGGAAAAGCAAATTAAACCACAATGGGGCCCTGGCTGGTTTGGCTCAGCAGTTAGAGCATCGGCCCATGGACCAGAGAGACCTGGGTTTGGTTCCCGCTAAGGGCACATATCTCGGTTGCAGTTTGTCCCTGGCCCTGGTTGGTCATGCGGGTGACAGCCACTCGATGTGTCCCTTTCACGTCGATGTTTCTCTCTTTCTCTCTCTTCCTCTCTCTCCCTCCCACTCTATCTGAACAAAAAAATGGAAAAATGTCCTCAGGTGAGGATTTAAAAAAACACACACACACTAAAAAACTACATCAGTTGGCCGGTTAGCTCAGTTGGTTAGAGCGTGGTGCTAATAAAAAACTACAATGGAATATCACTGCATACATATCAGAATGACTAAAATGAAAAATAGTGATAACACCAAATGCTGGCAAAGAGGAGATACTGTATCATGTATTCATTGCTAGTGGGATTGTAAAATGGTGCAGCCATTCTGGAGAAGAATATGGCAGTTTCTAATGAAACTAAGCATTCAGTTCCCATAATGATCCAACAACTGCACTCTTGTGCATTTATTCCAGAGAAATGAAAGTTTATGGTCACACAAAGACCAGTGCATGGATGTTTCATAGCAGCCTTATTTATAATACCCCAAACTAGACACAGTCCAGATGACCTGCAGTGGTTGAATGGTTAAACAATAGATGGTATATCCATACCATGGAATACTAGTCAGCAATTAAAAGGAAAGAAGTATCGATACACCTCAATGACTTGGATGAATCTCCAGAGAATTTTGCTGAGTAAAAAAAAAGCCAGTGCCAGAAATTACATACTGTATGATTGATTCCATTTATATGACATTCTGGGAATGACCAAATTATGGAAATGGAGAACAGATTAGTGATTGCTAGCAGTTGGGACAGAGGTGGGAGAGGATGGTAAGGGAAGGAAGTGGGTGTGGAGTAAAAGGCAACATGAGTGATCCTGTGGTTATGGAATTGTTCTGTGTCTTGTCCATCTTAACCATCAATATCCTGGTTGTGATGCTGTACTTAATTTTGCAAGATGCTACCATTTGGAGAAACTGAGTTAAGGGTACATAGAATTTCTCTGTATTCTTTCTTTTTCTTTTTAATCCTCACCTGAGGACATTTTTGCATTTATCTTCAGATAGAGCGGGAGGGAGGGAGGGAGGGAGAGAGAGAAACATTGATGTGAGAGAGACACATCGAGTGGTCGCCACTCATACAACCCCAACCTGGGCCGGGGACAAACTGCAACCAAGGTACGTGCCCTTAGCGGGAACTGAACCCGGGTCTCTCTGGACCACGGGCTGATGCCAAACTGGCCAGGGCTTTCTGTATTATTTCTTAAAATTGCATGTAACCTGAACTTATCTCAAAATAAAATGTTTAATTGAAAAAAGATAAATCAAGGCTGCTACCATGAATTAAAAGAAATACCCATTATTAAAGCTACAGATCTTCCGGAGTACTTAAGTTTAATGTACAAATCTTATTATTTTTATAAATACTTATAAGGGGGATTTTGAAACTTAATTAAATTCCCCTAAATCTTTTAGCCCCATTTCAACATTTAATATATTTATTTTCATTTCTAAATAGTTCACTTATCTGATTAATGAAAACCATTGGGTACTTAAATAATTTTTGTACATCTAATAAATAAACTGCGAAATATGGGTTATCTTATGTTCTTTTTTTTAAATTTTTTATTTATCCTCTCTGCCCCATACACTCCCCAGGCCCTCCCTTGGCCCACCCTGCCCCACCCTCCCATGTCTCTCTTATGTTCTTTTAAAAGTTTTGGTAATTTATACACATTTATTAAGAGTGTCTTGAACCTTTCAACTTAAAACAAATCTAAATGAAAATCTCATTTACCCATATTAAATTAGAACCATAAGATTAATCTATTAATAATTCCATCTCGCCCTGGCCGGTTTGGCTCAGCGTTAGAGCATTGGCTTTCGGTCTAGAAAGACCTGGGTTCTGTTCCCGCTAAGGGCATGTACCTCGGTTGCAGTTTGTCCCCGGCCCACTCGATGTGTCCCTTTCGCATCAGTGTTTCTCTCTCTCTCTCTCTTTCCCTCCCACTCTATCTGAACAAACAAACAAACAAACAAACAAAAAATGGAGAAATGTCCTCAGGTGAGGATAAAAAAAAAATTTCATCTCTTAACACAATTACATGCCAGGTATATACAGTAGTCCCCCCATATTCGCAGGGCAGACCGCCACTGGGTGCCTGAAACTGAGGATGGTACTGAACTTTATTAATACTATGTTTTTTCCTGTACATACATACCTGTGATAAAGTTTAATTTATAAATTAGGCACAGTAAGAGATTAACAATAATTATTACTAATAAGGTGGAATGATCAGTGATAGGCAGCTACCTGGCCAGGCACTGTCGCCACAGGCAGCTACGGGTGCTGGAGTATGTCGCAAGCCAGAATATGTGGCGACGGCAGCTACATGGCTATTTACACGATAGGTAATAATAAAGGGCAAATACAATATGGTCTTGAATGGAAAGAGCCCTAATTGGTTTTTCACCCAATATTTATCTTTTTATATTATATTTACTATATCAATGCATAGCAAAAGTTTGTAAGAAAATGCAAAAGAACGCCCTGGCCGGTTTGGCTCAGCGGTTAGAGCGTCAGCCTGCGGTCCGGAGAGACCCGGGTTCGGTTCCCGCTAAGGGCACGTACCTCGGTTGCAGTTTGTCCCTGGCCCTGGTCGGTCGTGTGGGTGGCAGCCACTCGATGTGTCCCTTTCACATCGATGTTTCTCTCTCTCTCTCTGTTCCTCTCTCTCCCTCCTGCTCTCCCTGAACAAAAAAACAAAAAAATGTCCTCGGGTGAGGATTAAAAAAAAAAAAAAAGAAAATGCAAAAGAAGAAGAGCCCCCCAAATCTGGAGAAGTTGGAAGCAGAGTCAGAGGCATTTAATCCAACTAGTAGAGACCAAGGTGACCCCTGTCCAGCCTGTCCCTGACAGGTGGGCACCAGGCCTGTGTGGGAGCTGCTGCAGGGATGGGAGCCTATCACCCACCGGTGCCTTTCTTCACGCGTGCAGCCCCCTCTGGGAATAGAGAGCCCTGTTATTATAAGGATCTTTGTTTTCCTGAGACCAAAACATCATTCCCTATAATTATGACCTTTGGTTCATGATTTGCCTTAACATACGTATGCCTATTCCTAAATGTATACACTCAGTAGGTCCTTACTTGGCCACAGAGTAGCCCCTGGAAAATGGATTGAGTGATTTTCCTGATCAATGCATAGAATTACTATGCTACGAAAAAAGAAAAAAAATGTAGAACAATCATAACAATGTACTGTATTAAAAGTTATGTGAACGTGATCTCTCTCAAAGTAAGTATTGTACTGTACTGACCCTTCTTATGATGTGAGGTGATACAGCGCCTATGTGATGAGGTGTAGCGAAGTGAATGAGGTAGGCATCGTGACATAGCATTAGGCTACGATGATTTGTCAGAAGGAGGACCACTGAGCCGTGATGATGTCATGTCTTCCACCCACAATGGAATGCTTTTTCCATCTTGACTAAGCAATTACCACGCACTGTGGCTGTAACTTGTGCAGTTTGAGGGGCGACAGCAAAATGTTCATACCAAATTAATTTACTTCACTTCAGTACTTAATATTAAAGTTTTCCAGGGCTAAGGGTATTGATTCATCAAAGAAATAATATTTTTTCTGAAATGAACTGGGTTGCACCTGAGGCCAGGGACTCTGGTGGGGGCTGAGAATGCAGCTGCAGCATTCGGGTGACTTGTCTCATGCTGGTGCAGGACACGCTGGGAGGAGGCTGGGATTCTAAGAGCATGTCCTCCACATTTCTTATTCTGATCAGAATAATTTCCTATATTCCTTTTCTGGCAGGACCACAGCTTTTGTAGGCATTTCAGAGACAGCCAGTTGGAGTTTTACATAGCTCCTGACCTTTGTCTGATGGCATGGTCCTGATCCCAATTCTCAGGTCACTAGTAATAACAGTGACAACTAATAATATGTATTCAGCCTGGCAGGTGCGGCTCAGTTGGTTGAGCATCATCCTGTGCACTGAAAAGTCACAGGATCGATTCCCAGTCAGGGCACATACCTGGGTTGTAGGTTTGTTCCCCGGTCAGGGCACATATGGAAGGCAACTGATCGATGTTTTTCTCTCACATCGATGTTTCTCTTTCTCTTCCTTCCTCTTTCTAACATTGTCCTGGGGTGAGGATTAATAAAAAACAAAACCTGTTTTTTTAAAAAAATAATGTGTATTCAGCACTTAATATATGTTAGGTACTATTTCAAATTCTTTAAAATATAGTAACTTCTGCCCAGCTGGTGTGGCTTAGTGGATTGAGCATCGTCCCATGGACTGAGAGGTCCCAGTTCGATTCCTGGTCAGGGCACATGCCTGGGTTTCAGGCTCAATCTCCAGTAGGGGGCGTGCAGGAGGCAGCTGATCAGTGTTTCTGTCTCACATCGATGTTTCTATCTCTCTCTTCCTCTCCCTAAAAAACCAATAAAAACACATTTAAAAAAATAAAATATGGTAACTTATTTAAATCTCATGACAACCCTATCAGGTAGGCATGATGATTATTTCTATTTTACTTATGGGGTGACTGAGGGACAGACAGATCATGAGACCTGTCTAAGGTCACACAGCTGATAGGAGGCTGAGCCTGGATTCAAACCCAGGCTGTCTGGCTCATTAGTTCTTGCTCTTGACCCCAACCCTGCTTGAGGTTGCCACTGGCCAGGTAGGTGGGAGAGATTGGGGGCAACTGGCCATTTCCCATTCCTCTTCTCCCCTCTGTCCATACCCACAGTCACTGGGTATGTGGAAGTTCCCTAGGCTTCTCCATCCCTTATATTAAGGCCCAGAGTGGGGCCTGGGAGCTTACTGAGGGAAGTAAATTTCATCCTTTGACTCACTGTCACACATTATAAAGTTGTGAGTGGGTAGGGCTGGGGTCTGGGCCATCCCTCGTGGATGGTGAATGACCACAGGCCTGCCTGTACCCTTGCTCTCTTTCCCTGTCCCATGCCCTAGGATATTCCAAGCCCACCATGTCGACAAGCTGGCTGAGGAATCCGCGAGAACTGCACAAAGGGAACTTGGACTCTGGGAAGACCAAGTTCCGGCTAATGAGGGTATTCGGAGCATCGTCCCTGGGGCCCAGGGCAGGGGGCGTGGCGATGGTGGTGGCAGACATGCACCGAGCATTCGTGGGTCTGACTAGACTCCTTTCCTCCTCACAGCAACCCTGCAGGCACGCTTATCATCATCCCTGCTCTGCAAGGGGGAAACTGAGGTGCAGAGAGAGAAATGATATGCATGAGGTCACACAGCTAGAACATAGCAGTAGCAGGGGTCAAAACCAGCTAAGCACAGTGCTGCTGTATTTAAGACTCGGAAACAATCAGAATCCCTTTTCAATTCACTGCATTAAAATTTTCATTTGAGCCCTGGCTGGTTTGGTTCAGCGGTCAGAGCATCAGCCCACGGTCCAGAGAGTCCTGGGTTTGGTTCCCGCTAAGGGCACGTTACTGGGTTGCAGTTTGTCCCCGGCCCCACTTGGGGTTGTGCAGGAGGCAGCCACTCGATGTGTCCCTTTCATGTCGATGTTTCTCTCTCTCTCTCTCACTTCCTCGCTCTCCCTCCCACTCTCTCTGAACAAAAATGGAAAAATGTCCTTGGGTGAGGATAAAAAAAATTTTTCATTTGAAAGTTTCCAGTACGTTCCTTTCATGGAATACAGTGCGTCTTGGAACAAGGCTTAGAAGCTTACTAGAAAATATTTTACATCAGCTGATACAATTTTGGATAATTAATTTTCTCATTATCCATAGTTTTAAATGGCTTCTGAACAATATTTCAAAGTATTTGAAATGGCTAAAAGAAGGAGGAGGCTTTTGTGTCTATAGCAAAACATAAAATACTAAATACTATAAATACTACAAAATACTGTAGGAGAATTCCTAGCTTCTCCAAGAAAGTGCCGAACAGCTCAATGAAAAGTGACTATTATATAAAGAAATAGGGGACAATATATTTGCTTTGAAATTGTTTTTCCCCTTTAACTTTCAGTTTTGCGAGGTGATTTGGAGGCAGCCCAGCATTCTTAAAGGAGGAGCTCATATATATGGTATTTTTATCCTGACTTTAGAAGGGTTCATGTGTTTTTGTTTGATAAAAAACATGAACTTGGACAGTTTGGCTCTAAAACCTGTGCTACCAGTTTCTAAGACGGTCTCTTGAAACTGTTCATTTGTTTACTTAGTCAACAAATATTTATTGAAGCCCTGTGTGCCAGCCCTGTTCTGAGTGGGGGGACTCACCAGTGGTGTGGCCTCTGACGTTCGGTAGCTTACATTCCACTGGAGGAGACAGACAATAGACAAGACAAACATATAATGTGAGGTGATGCCAACAGCTGTGAAGAGGCATAAAGGAAAGGTTAGGGGGCTAGAGAGGCACAGAGCAGGGAGTGGCTGTGACTTTTATTAGACAGGATGGCCAGGGAAGGCTGCTAAGGTGGTAGCATCTGAGGGAGGAATGTTCCAGATAGAGGAACCACAGTGCAAAGGCCCTGAGGTTGGTGTGAGGTCGGTGTGGCTGGAGCAGTTGATGAGGTGGAAAGATGTTGAGAGGTAAGGATGAGGATATCTTGTATATAGCCCTGTAGTCCCTGATTACACTCTGTGGTTTTTTTTTGCATTTATTTTCAGATAGAGTGGGAGGGAGAGAGGGAGGAAGAGAGAAAGAGACACATTGAGTGGTTGCCACCCACACAGTCCGCTGGGGACAAACCACAACCAAGGTACGTGCCCTTAGTGGGAACCGAACCTGGGACTCTCTGATCTGTGGGCTAACGCTCTAACCGCTGAGCCAAACCGGCCAGGGCTCACTTTGTGGTTTTATGCTGAGTAAGACAGAAAGACCCTGGAGGCTTCTGAGTAGAGCAGGGATGTGACCTGACTTCGATTCTCACAGGAGTCTTTGGGGTGCTGCTGCTGGAGAATGGACTTGTGGAGATGGGGGAAACAGAGGAAAGGGAGCAGAAACTATGCAGTTGGTTTGTTCTTGGAGGTGGAGTAGAATCCTGACTCTGCCTCTTAGCCTCAATACAATTATTTATTCAATCTAAAACTCTTGAGAGAGTGCCTCCTATGTGCCAGGCACCATACTGGGTGTTGGGGACACAGCCATGAACATGGCACTCAGAATTTTTTCTGTTATGGAGAGAAACATAATACATAAATTTAAAAAACCCAGAGAATAGGTACTCATCAGTTTGTTCAAGCCATACTTATGGAGCTCTGGGCACTGTCCTATGTGCTGGAGATGGAGTTGTGACAAAACAACCAATGCCTCTGTCCTCCTGGCTGTGACATTCTAGTGGGGGACCCAGACAGAAAACAAGATAATAAGAAAAATACGTTATGTTGAGTGGTGATAAGTTTTAGGAGAAAAATATGTTGGAAAAGGTGGAGACATAATTACAAACTATAATTAGTAATTACAAATTGGGGTAAGGGTCAAGAAGGAAGCAAAGAAGTTTCTGCACGAGATGTGGTGGTCAGAGAAGATCCATTTCTAAAGCACAGGTCATTAATTCTACAATTTATCCAAATCTCTGGGAGTGGGGTGTGTTGAAAGTACAGATTCTTGGTACCAGCCCCAGTGATGTTGGCTCAGTGGTCCTGAGACTTGGAGACTGGCATTTTTCACAAGATGCTCTGGTCCCTGTGGGCCGTATTTGGAGATATTTTGGTGGGGAGATGTAGAGACAAGATGGCAGAGTGGCTAGGAGCCTGGACTTCAGGGAGAACAGCTCTGCTGTGTGTGATCTTGGGTAACTTACTGAATCTCTCTGACCCTCAGTTTCTGCTTCTATAACGTGGGGCTAATAATAGTGCCAAGTGAGGTAGTACGTGTAACATGCTTAACACAGTTTCAGGCAATTAATAAGCACCCTTAGGTTTCCCCTATTTCTCATTACTATGTGAGGAGTATGGGAGCTGAGAGCTATTGGGGGTGGGCAGGTTCTAGCCAACAACAAAAAAATAAGGAAAAAGAGAAGGAATGAAGAGAGTTCGTAGGTGTGGCACAGGTGCAGGGTTAGAGCTGGTGAGAAGTGCATCAGCTCCTGTTCACAGAGTGCACACTGAGTGTCCAAGACATTGCCACTAAGTGGCTTGACTGTAAATATGATTTCACTAATTTGTTTCACAGCAGCTCTCTGAAGTGGGTATTAGTAATCCATGCTTGAAATGAGTATAGTGGGGCTCAGGGAGCCTAACTTGCCCAGTTCTCCTTAGGCGATACGTGGCAGAGATGGGATTTGAAGCGAGGTGTGTCTTGTCCTAACATCCAAATCTTAATCACTTTGAGGTTCAGCCACGCCTTGCAGCCCTAAGCCCACTCAGTTCTTTGTCTTAGTGTAGTGGAAAGACCGGGAGTCAGAAGTCTGCCTTTCCAGTTCCGGTGCCCCCACTTCCTGGCTGTGTGACTTTGGGCAAGTCACTTAACCTGTCTGAGCTTATACCTATCAGTAGAATAGAATTAGTAAACATAGGATGTGTTGATACCATGTGCCATGTACCAAATGAGGCACAGTGCCCAACACATAGCAGGTCCTCAACAGTTGTATTGTTATTAATGTGGATTTTGTGTACCTGCTGAGGGTAATTTAAGCCCTTAGATTGTGGTTGTTTCCAACAAGGGTGTTGTATGAGATGAGAGAACTCAGCTCAGCTGCCTGAAGAGAAATCCCAGCGATTATCATCCAGTTTGCCTCCCTGCTTCTCCAGGCATGCCCCATTACCTCTGCCACCTTTTTACCTACCTGGGGCATTTTCTATTATAATGATCATTACTACTCTATTTCATTGATTCTAGGAAGCCATGGATAATAAGGCGCACCTTCATTTTATTAAACCACAAATAAAATATTTGCCAATTAGATTGCGAAACACATCAACTGTAAGATGCATCCCTACCTCAGAGATGTAAAATTATGGGAAAATGGGCATTTCAGAATGGATGAAATAATTGGAGGTGCTGTGACCAGCAGACAATGGGGAACCGCCTCCAGCACGAGTCACATTTACCAGTCGAGGCCACTAGGGGGCGAATGTGTGGTGGGAGGGATGTGGTCCCCAGGCTCCCGGAGGACCTGCACCGCCTCCCATTCCCTCCCCTCCGCTCACAGACGTTGCTCCGGAACCGGCAGAACTCACTCCAGGAGCTCCGCCACCAGGAGGAGTTTCTCACCAACCTCAATCAGGAGATGATCAAGACCATCCAGGACATGGAGGATAGCTCAGCCCTGAAAATGCGAGGGATGCTGCAGCAGCAGGAAATCTTTGGGGTGAGGCCCCACCTTGCCCTGCCGCCCCGCCTCTACCCTCCGCGCCTCGGTCCTGCCCACCACGCCGCCCTTCTGAGCGCTCTGGCGCCCTCTCCTGGCCTCCGACTGGTTGCACAACTGCTGCTTTCATCTGGAAGATGCATCTCTTACACTTCGCTCCATCTACCAGGGTTTTGGAATCAGATCGGGAGTGGGATGCTTATTGAAATGTCAGTACCTGTTAGCTGAGAGACTTTGGATTAACCTTTGAGCCCTGTAAAATCAGTCTCAATAGCATCCATTCCAAAGGGGGGTGGGTTGTGCTTGGTACACAGTAGGTGTGCAAGAGAAAGTAGCTGCTATCACCACCACCAGCAGCAAATACTTACACAGTGTAATACTTCGTGCTTTGTATATACTCAAGTATCCTTACAACAACCCTGTGGGCATTATCATTATTTTTATTTTACATATGAAGAAATGGAAACAGGTGAGGAGACTTGCTCAAGGTCACTTTCAAGGTCACCCGGCTAGCAAGGGTCAGAGGTGGGATTTGAGCCCAGGCAGCCTGGCACCAGGATCCCTGTTCCTTCCACCAGCTGTGATTACCACCCCCATGCAGTGGTGGAACTTCTGAGCCATGGGTGAAGAGTGACTCTGCAGAACCCAGGGAATGTCCCCTAGGAGAGGCTAGGTGAAGCTGTGGTGACAGGCTGAAAGTTCACAGGGGACTCAGGAGTTCGGACTGAAGAAGAATCAGAGAAAATAGTTTAATGGAGAGCAGTTCCCCTCTTGGACTGCAGTCTGCCAGTCCAAGCGCAGGTAGAAGAGGGACTGAGCTCACTGGAGCCTGAGATGAAGAGAAAATTAAGTCTTGGGAACTGGGTTGGTCTGTTCAGACTGCTGTAACAAAATACCACAGATCAAGTGGCTCAAACAACCAAAATGTATTTTCTCATAGTTCTAGAGTCTGGAAGTCTAAGATCAAGATGCCAGCAGGTTGATGTCTGCTGAGGTCTCTCCTTGGGGTGTAGACGGCTGTCTTCTTGCTGTGTCCTCACGTGGCCTTTACTCTGTGCTCACACGGGGTGAGAGAGATATGTGGCATCTCTTTCTCCTCTTATAAGGATACTTGTCCTATTGGATTAGGGCTCCATCCTTTTGCTCATTTATCCTTAATTACCGTCCTAAAGGCCTTATCTCCAAATATAGTCACATTGGGGGGGGGGGGCGGCACAATTCAGTCTATAACAGAGACCAAGGACATGCAGTTTTTCAGCCCAAGGAAACTTAGAATATTCTCCATACCTTGACAAAGTCATTATCTGATTTTCTGTCATTGATTTATTAATATTTTTTTTTCTTCATTCTGAGTACTTCCCATAGGCCCTTGGGAAACGGATCAGTGGAACACCTTGTCCACATCAAGCTCTCATTCTAGTAGGGTCACAGGCAGTTAGAAAGCCATTTGTGTGTACCGTGATAGGGACGAGGGACTCAGAGCTTAGTGGGGCTCTCTAACCCAGACATGGCAGGGTCAGAAAGGCTTCCTAGAGAAAGTGATGCTTGGGTTGAAACATGCAGACACAGGTATCAACTGTAGAGAGCGGGGCAGTGCTCCGGGCAGGGGGAATGGGTACCTAAGGCCTGGGGTGGGAAGGAGCACAGCCGGTTCAAGGAGCCACGTGTTGCTTAGTGTTACTAGACAGTAAGGTGTGAGGAAGGGATGAGAGAGAGATGAGACTGGCCCAGGCCAGATGGAGGAGGGCCTTGTCAGACAAGGTGAGGAGTTTTGACCTTATTGACCGGACAGAGGGGAGCCACTGGAAAGTTTTAAATAGGAGAGGGACAAGATTGTTGTTTTTTAAAGAAAGATCATTCTGACTGCTGTGCAGAGAATCAGTCAAAGGAGAGGGCCAGTTAGGGGTAGCCGTTGTCACATTTCAGACAGGAGATGAAGAAAACGAGTAAGATAGTGGCAGCAGGCCGTGGAGAGGAGGGCATGGCTATGAGTGCTGTTCGGGGTATAAAATCCTTACCACTTAGTGACATTTTGGGTGACAGGAGAGTGGAGACTGATGCCTGGGTTTGGGTCTGTGTGCCTGGTGTGTGGTAAGGCCATTGTCTGAGGTGGGTGGTAGAAAAGGGGGAACGTCGGGAGGGGTGGGGGAGGAGGTGCTGCTTTCTAGCTTCTGGAAAGGTTCCTGGGCTTGGGCTTAGGGGTGACTCTGAGGCAGTGCTGAGTCTCCTGAGAGGCCATGTTCTTGGGGTGAGCTAACCCCACCATTCCCACAGACCATCATCAACATCTTGGGGTACTCAAACAAGAAGAAGCTGCAGAAGATGACGTGTGAACTGCAGGATTGGAAGGAGAAGGAGGAATCCAAGATGAGCTGTAAGGATCCATGAGGCAGACTCTCTGATCCTCACCCGGCCCTTGGTGGAGGTCAGCGGCCGGGCTGTGTACCTACTGTTCTGGAACCATCAGGCCTGTCATCTCCTTCGGGCAGGTGGCATTGCTAAGATCCAGAGCTAACAGCGTGCTTACGGAGCGGTTAGCACATCCATGCCCCAGGCATCTTCACTTTCATGGGCACACTTTCTGTTGTTACAATTACTGTGAGGGAGGGAATATTCTCCCATTTTACAGATGAGGAAACCGAGGCTAAGAGAAGTAAAGTAGCCTGCCACAAGGGTATACAGCTAGGAGCCAGAATCCAATCCAAGCCTGCCTCTATTTCCTGCCAGGGTCATTCTGGGAGTTGGTGGCTGGGCCAGGTCCCAGGTCTCCTGTGTCCATCCTGCTGAGCCAGTGGTTTCTTTCCCCTGAGCAGACTAGAAGCTTGAGCAGAGGGACAGTGTGTCAGACTATCTGAGATACTGGGGATCCCCTCCAAGGAAGACTTTGTCTTAATCCTGCCATGGTTGTGTTTTGGAAGCCAGTGTCGCCCCATCTCTCTGGGCTTGTGTTGCGGGTGTGTGTATGAGGCTGAAGCCCAGAGAGGGATGGTCTTGGTGAGGGTCACACAGCAAGTCAGTAGTAGAGCTGGGACTAGTCTCGGGATCGTGCACCATCCTAGTTTCTCTTTCCTACCCTGTGTTGCTTCTTCAGTGGGGGTAAAAGACTCTAGGGCCTTAACTTTTTACCACCTCCCAGCCTTGCGTGAGCTCGCTTCAGCCTAGAACCCAGTCCATTGGCCAAGGAGAGCTTTGCCTCCTGGATCTCCTGGGAGGGATCCTTGAGGGAGGATCTAGCCTCCTGTTCCTCCTGACCTCTCCAGACCTGAAGCAGCAGGTGGAGCAGCTGAATGCCAAGATCAAGAAGATCCAAGGGGAAGTGAACTTCTTGAGCACTTACATGGACCATGAGTATCCTGTCAAGTCGGTCCAGATTGCCAGCCTTGAGCGCCAGCTGCAGCAGGTGAAGAACAACCGGCAGGTAGGTGAGCCCCTGGCTTTGTCTTGTTGGACCAGGGAGGAGGCAGGGCTGGTGGCCAACATGCTCTTTCTGGTCCCCAGGATGAGTTGGATGACTTTAATGAGATGCGCAAAATGGTCCTGGAGTCTTTGTCTAATCAGATTCGGATGAAGAGAGCAAAGCTCCTGAGCTCTCTGGTGGCGGTGAGTAGCTGGCGCCTGCATTCAGCCCTGCTTTCTTCTCCATCCTCTGCTCCAGGCTCCCTGTGCCCCCACCAGCCTCTGCCATGCACTGCTGCCAGGAAGAGGCACATGGGGCAGACTTTCCTTCTTTCACAGAAAACCCAGCAACCCAGGCAGGAGGTTCTTCTGCAGAAGTCCTGGGAAAACCAGATCATGGCGAAATGCACAGACAAGTTCCGAGAAGTGAGTGGGCAAGGACGGTGGTGGTCCCTCTGAGGGCGCAGACGGGGGGAGTCCCCAGGACCTGTGGGGGTCAAGCTTGTCCTGATCTGGTGCTCAGGAGGTGTGGGCCTTTCTCCAGGCCAGTTCTGTCACTTGCCATTCATCTGAGAAGGGAACTTGCGGTGGTCTAGACCTTGCCGCATAAACCAACATCACTGGGCATGACTCATTACCAGTATTACCAAGCATTGCCCACTCAACCATCATTTTACTGTCACTAGCCACCCCCTGTCTTCCCCCCTTGAGTCTTGTCGTTGACCAGCACTTGTTAGCAGTGTGGATGGGCTTCACCATCACCATCCTCTGGCATTCATTTTCATGACAACCGTGCACTTTCATCTGTGACCTGTGAGGGGCCGTCACCGGCTCCACCAGCCCACTCTAATCCTCATTTAATCCTCCGCTTTGCAACTCGTCTCCATCCTCCATCACCCCCTCACCTTTCTGACCATAAACGTTGCCACTAACGGGGAGCCAGCCCTGCCGGAGAGGCCTCTCTGGAGCCCTGGAAGTCCCGGGGACAAGGCTCAGGCCATTTCCCTAAATGTCTTTACTCCCCATCCAATTTGCCTATTTCTCCCCTTGGTTGGGAGGCATTTGACTTCTCAGTTTCCCCTGCTGTGCCTCTCTCAGTTTGTCGACCAGTATGAGGAGGAAATACCCACATTGAGGGCCGAGGTGGAACAGCTCCAGGTCCAGATCCAGGAACCCCGAGAGGTCGTGTTTGCAGACGTTCTCCTTCAGAGACCCAAGTATGTGATCTCTGCAGCTGTCTCAGACTAGGCGGGAACCCACTCTTGCTACCGTACGGAAAGAATGATGCCCTCACTTACTGAGCACTTATTATGTGCTGGCATGATCTCATTTAATGCTCCTACCAACGTCAGGTTGGAATTATTACCCCCCTTGACAGGTGAGGAAACTGAGGTCCACCTGGGGTCTGTCACACAGTGAGTGCTCATTGCATAGGTGCCAACAGGAGGAGCGAGGCTCAGAGGGAAGTGGGGTGCTCAAGGTGACACAGTGCCAGGCTTCCAGAGGACTCATCGGACTCCAAAGAGGGTGCTCGGTCTGAGGGGCCCCCACATTTCAGAGCGGAGTTCCTGCTCCCTCTTGACCCTAGACCTCTGTTGTGACATCAGTCCTGTCAAACCCATTCCTTTTCCACTTTTGCGTGTGTGCGTGCTTGTGTACACACATCCTTACACAGCTGGGCTGTGAGGTTGCAGACAGGGCTCCGAACGTACCAGTGTTCTAAAGAGCGGGGCTCCCCTGAGGATGTGCTCCCCTCCCTCCTACTCTGGCTCTGCTACTTGGCTTCTCACACCCCACTTTGCTCTTTCCTGCCAGGTGCACCCCAGACATGGATGTCACCCTCAACATCCCTGTGGAAGAGCTGCTACCCTTCTAGATGGCAGGGCCATGGCCGCCCTTCCTCCCTGCCCTCCTCCCCACAGCGGGAGCCTTGAGTCCAAGGTCTTCCAAGTCCACATCCCCATTCAGATCCTCCTCAGCCTTCCCTCCCTCCTCCCCTCCCCCTCCCTCTTCCCCCCTTTTGGTTTGGTGCTGCTGCCTGGGCCAGGTGGGAATTTCCAGGCAAGTCCACCATTTCTTTTTACCAATAAAGCTGGATCTGTAATTGCTCTTTGCCAGTGCCTGGGAGTTCCCAGGCAGAGCTTGTAGAAGATGCGGCGGGAATGGACTTTGTCTTAATGTGCGGGCAGCTGTGCAGATGCATCTGGGGCTCCAAGCATATCGAGGAAGCCAGACTGACCCCTGCCTGAATCTCTGGCCCTGTGGCTCCGGGCCCCCTTCCTGGTGCAAAGGAAGCCCAGGTTCCCTCCCAGTTGGTGCCCAGACCTGTTACGACCAGTGCCAGGGTGGAGGGGAGACTCCTTGATTTGATACACTGAGGAACTTGCTGCCTTTCACTGCTGATGACCATCTCTCTTCGAGTCCAGCTGTCTGTCCACTGCCTCACCCCAGCTGTGTATGGACATGCACACAGACTGATACTCAGGTGCACAGTGAGGCACAGCTCCCCACTACGTGCTCTTCTGTGGTGGGCTTAGAGGTATGCTCTCCAGATCCCCCTTCAAGCAGGGCCTGGGAGCGGCGGGTGGCCCTTCAGGGTTTGCCTCGGCTGCAGAAGGCCACCATTTCACTTCCCCACAAGGGTTCCAATTTCTCCATATCCTCATTTGCATTGTTACTTTTAAAAACATAACAATTCTAATAGATATGAAGTAGTATCTCATTGTGGTTTTGATTTGCATTTCCCTAATGGCTCACTGATGTTGAGCATCTTTTCAAGGGTTTATTTCAGTCTTTTGTGTGACTGAGCATTGTGAACTTTTGAACTCTCTGAGATATTTGTTAGTGAAAGTTCGTGCAGCCACACCCATAGCGTTTTCTCTAGAGCATGTTTTTCTAACAGTGAATCTCTTAATGTTAGCATCCTTTGCCATTTGGGTAGCTTGAGTATTTCCCAAACCATCAAGTCCTGCTTGCTTTTGGGTTAACAGATCTTCCCTCAATTTGTCTCTCTTTTCTCACATTGTACTATAAGCAGCAAGAAGAAACCAAGCTTCACCTGCAACACTTTTCTTGGAAACCTGCTCAGCTGAATATTCAAGGTCATCACTTGTAAGTTCTCCTTTCTACACAGCAGGATACAGTCCCCCTAAGCCACTGGGTTACAGGGTCCCCTTGCCCCCAGTTTCCAACAGCACATTTCTCATTTTCTTCTGACTTTCCAGCAGCAGCAGCAGCAGCAGCAGCAGCAGCACCTTAACATCCACATCTCTCTAACAGTCTGTACACGAAAATGGCATCTGCAATGTCATCTCCCCTTTGCCATGTAACACGAGATATTCCTAGGTTCCAGGGTGGGGATGTGGACACCTTTCGGGGGAATTAGTCTGTCTACTGTACTCCCTCTAGCCACATCACACTTCCTTCTGAGGAGAAGAAGCCTCCTCTTCTCCCTACCAGGGGACTCTTGTCCCCAAGGCCCACCCAGCACTCAGGCAGCCTTTGGGGGCCTTGCTTGTGCCTGAGACCTTGGGTCATATCCGGGGCACCCTTTCTTCCTCTTTTTTCTTCAGCAACCCAAGTTCCCAGTACCGAAGAGACAGGAATTCGCCCCAGATAACCCATACTCAGAAAGGCTTGACAAATGGAGCTCGTGTTTCAGAAGTGTCACTCCCACGCATCTTCTCAGGGAGAAACAACCATCCTAGTGGGTGGGAGGAGCCCACCTCCCTGGTGGATTTGGTTCCAGAGGGTGGCTGGCTCAATAAAACCCGATGGCAGTGAGGATGAAAGATGGCCCAGTGGCCTTGTCAGTTCGGGTTGAGAGTGTCCCATACCCATCCCAGGAGACAAATGAGCCCCAATAAAGCTAAGTGTAGCAAAAAAAGCCATATGATGACATACGATGACAGTTCGTGGTCATGGTCATTGTGGCTGAATTCCACCATTGTAGGCACTTGCAAAGGGGCAGGGAGCAAGGGGAGTTGCCCCTGGGTCAGCAGGAGTGTAGGTCTGGGGTGACAGTACTTTGTGGAGAGGGCCCAGACCATATATTTGAGGATATTTCTCACGTGTCAATTTATTTATTTATTTATTTTTTAATCCTCACCCGAGGACATTTTTTGTACAGATAGAGTGGGAGGGAGAGAGAGAGAGAGAGAGAAACATCGATGTGAAAGGGACACATCGAGTGGCTGCCACCTGCACGACCAACTAGGGCCGGGGACAAACTGCAACCGAAGTACGTGCCCCTAGTGGGAACCGAACCCGGGTCTCTCTGGACCGCAGGCCGACGCTCTAACCGCTGAGCCAAACCGGCCAGGGTTCTCACGTGTCAATTTAAACAAATGTTTTGGTTGATTTTTTAGAGAGAGGAAGGGAGAGAGAGAGAAAAACATCCATGAGAGGGAGACACATCAGTTGGCTGCCTCCTGCACGCCCCGCCCCCCACTGGGGATGGAGCCCATAACCCAGGCATGTGCTCTGACTGGGAATGGAGCCAGGACCTCTCAGTCCATGGGACAACGCTCAATCCACTGAGCCACACTGGCAGGTTCTCATGTGTGTCAATTTTAAGTTACTCTGCCCATGACTTACTGTCCACACCATGTTGTCTACTAAGCTGGGTACAATTATCTCCACCTCCTGTGAAAGTTCATTATTATTGGCTATGAGTTGACTCTTGTATCCATGGGATTTTGGCAAAGCTTCTGCCTTAGGCAAATTAGGATCATTGGGATTCCAAACCAGCAGCCTATTTGGGACCATGGTCAGGGGTAGGCACTAGATAATGAAAGGATCCCACCCTATTAGACTAAGTTCCTATTATCTGTCCTGAGTCTGTCCACCATCCTTTATTGGAGCATTGGAGGACAGCAGGAATGAGAACGGGGGTATGGAGATGCGGAAGAAGAGGGGAAAACCAGCTTGGTATTGCCTTTAATGGCAAGAACAGGTGTCTCCAGAGCCCTAGTAAGGTGTAGAATGCCCCAAAGGTGGAGAACGTAGCATAATAGGGGTTGTGGGCAGGCATGACGCCGGCACCATTAGATGACTAGGCATTATTTTTAAATTTTAGTAAGGGATGTTTGAAAAGCCTGTTCTGGCACTCGGTCCAGCTAACCGAGTAAATGTTTCTTGTTATAAGGCCCATCTGTGTGCATCTTGTGAAGGTCTTTGATCTAAATCTAGGACACCAGGAGGAATTAGGAGGGCTTCGGATGGTCCTGGGCAGCAGTCTCAGTGTTCGGCATATGCCGGCATTAAGCCCTTGTGTCGGCTTTGTCGTGGGCGTACCGAGTATACCAGAAGGTGGCGGTAAAGGGCCAGTAAAAGGAACCAGTCAGCGACTTGAAGAGCCGGGCCTCCGGAATGGATCCCCAGCCTGTAAATCGCCCGTGGCGTGTTTTGTTGTAGAGTTCACAGTTGGTTATTTTGGCCAGTAGTGTGCGAATGGAAGAAAGCCTTTGTTTTGCTCTCATTGCTATTCCTTGCGCTGCTCACCTGAGCCGGCCTCCAGCCTCATCTCACCGTGTTTCTGTCCCTGTTTCTTAGACCCGCGCCTTCTGTACTCCCTCCCGCCAGAGAAGCTCCCCTCCTGCTCAGCCTCTGCACGGCTGGTCCCCTGCTCTGAATACTGCCCTCCAGGTCTTCATGCAGCTGTCCCCATGCCCGCTTAGTTCCAGTTTCCTTTCTCAGGGAGGTCCTGCCTGATCACTCTCCAGCACATCACTGGTATTTTACTTTATTATTTTTAAAAAATTTATCAATCTTTTAGAGAGGAAGGGAGAGGGAGAGAGAGAGAGAGAGAAAAACATCATTGAGCAAGAACATCTACTGATGGCGTCCTCCATGCCCCCCACTGGGGATCTGGCCCACAACCTGGGCATGCCCTGACCAGAAATCAAACCTCTTGGGGCATGGGTCGAGGCTCGACCATTGAGCCACACCGGCCGGGCTGGTTTTTTTACTCTCTTTACAGTAGTGCTTATGTCTGATATTACACATTAATTTTGGCCAATTATGTTTGTTATCTGATTCCCCCAACCATAATGTAAGTTGCATGAGTGTAAGTAATTTGTCATTCTTTATTGCTACCCCTGTAGGGAGGAGCTCCTGGCTTACAGTTGGTGCTCAACAAATATTTATTAAATTATTGAGTGGGTGAACTGGTTCTATTTACCGTAATGCCGGGTTTCAGCAGTGATACTTACACGCCATGGAAACGAAGCCCCTGCTTAAGGAAAATGATCCAATGATGGGGCAAAATAGAGCACATAGCTAACATAATGCATTGTGAGGCTCTTGTCAGTCTACGTGATGACAGGGCATGGGTGCTCGACCATGCCCTCCCATAGTGCTGCGGCAATAAACAGAACACGGTGGCTCTGAGTTGTCCCTTTTTATTTTATTTTCTCTCTTTCACTCTCTCTCCCTCTATAATTTTTTTTTATCCTCACCCGAGGACATTTTTGCATTTATCTTCAGACAGAGTGGGAAGGAAACAGGAGGGAAGAGAGAGAGAGAGAGAGAGAGAGAGAGAGAGAGAGAAACATCGACGTGAGAAAGACACATCGAATGGTTGCCACCCGCACAACCCCAACCGAGGCCAGGGATAAACTGCAACCAAGGTACGTGCCCTTAGCAGGAACTGAACCCAGGACTCTCTGGTGCATGGTCCGACGCTCAAACTGCTGAGCCAAACCGGCCAGGGCTCCCTCTATAATTTTTATTGAATTCATTGCGGTGACATTGTTTAATAAAATTTTATAGGTTTCAAGTGTACAATTATATAATCCATCATCTGTATATTGTATTGTGTGTTCACCCCCACCCCCAAGTCAATTATCCTTCTATCACCATTTATTCCCCTTTTACCATCTTCTGCCTCTCCATATCCCCTTTTCATGCTGGTAACCACCATACTGTTGCCTGTGTCTATGAGTTTTGTT